GTATAAATAAATAAGTATTCACTGCAAAATTATTGCTTTCGTTATGATGTATGCCTCAGCTGAGTCAGAGTTTAAAATAAATTACAAAAGTGAAGGTAAATTTAAAAATATTTCTATGTCTCAAAATCGTTAAAATGAGCATATTTCAATTATCAGTTTCCGGCAGAGGCCCCCCGGACCCCTCTTTAGCTGGAGGGTATCCCCCCCAAACCCTCCTTGGGTGTGTCCCGTTTTTTCCCAGTTCATGATTTGATCACCCTAGACTAGTAAAATATATATGTCGATGTGTCGTCTGACGTGACTTCAAAAATATATACGTCGCTGTGTCCTCTGAAGCGAATAGTAAAATATCTCTGTCGCTATGACCTTTCATCCCACGCTTTTCTGACCTGAAATGCTTCTAATTGGTGCGGATAGTTGGTTGTTTACAGATTCTTTAACGCGATAACATTTCATCACCGACCAATTGAAAGCAAGCCTAACAAAAACTAAGCCCTGCCCTGGCCAGGCTGAGGGCACCGACATTCGTTCATCTGATTTTTTAATCCACGGTCATACATCATATTCATACCTGAAAAAAAATAAAAAAACAAAAAAAAGCAATCAACCATGTTACTTTCACGTGTATACAACTTTTTTTTTTTTCTAAAGGAAAAAAAATAAAATAAAATCTGAACACTTGGTAATCAAATTTGTTTTGTTCTTGCATTAATCGTGACGTGTTGTGACGAGCAAATCACGGAAGGTTCTCAGTGTCACGTGAGTGAAAAAAGGTCGCGGGGCATTAAAATAAAGGTCTGACGTAGTACAACCGATTTTGAAATAACAAATTTCTTCATTGGTCGGTCGGTCGGTCTTCATTGGTCGGTGGACCTTTCTCAATACAGGCGCAATCGTAGAGTAAGATTACTGTACCTAATTTTAACTCTTAAAAAATGCTTTGTAATAACCGGTAAGACGCTATGACGGCAAGTATTTTACCTCGAGTGTCAACCATGGGGACTGGAAATTCTAAAGGGAAAAAAAAAGACGGTTCTCGGGCTGATGACATAAAACAACAACTGCGTTGTGTGTTCAGTCACGTGAAAGCGGTTAACGGAAGAGGTTCGTCTAACAGTACATGAAACAGGACCTTTTCGTCAAGCCCGGTGTGTATCGGTGTGTGTATGCAGTGTGTCGATGCAAACATTAAGCTAGGCCTACTTCCCCCGCACTCAGTTTCTCCTGGTCCTAAAAGTTGGAGTGGCCTAGTCAGTCCGGGGTGATCATGAGACAGTTTAAGTTTATGATAGTTGAAAAAAAAAAATCGTTGCTTGTTAAATTTATTTTATTGTTTGTAATTTGGTCATAGTAGAAGAAGAACATACATTTATATCTAATTCTAAAATCTTGTGTGCATTTTATTTAAGTTGACGATTAGGCCTCAGGAAAGACTACTTTTCTTTTCGCTTATATTCAGTGGCGTAGCGAGGGTGTTTGGCCCCCGGGGACAAGATTCGCGCCCGGGGACACGATTCATTTTTAGCGCCCCTCTTTCTTATTTTCAACTCTCAAACCCATTATTTTCATCAATAAAATAATATCAAAGCGCATTTTGGCGCCCCTAACTAGCTGGCGCCCGGGGACATCTGTCCTACCCTGCCCCCACCACGCTACGCCTCTGCTTATAGTTACTCATAATTTTTGTCCACACAAACACACACACACACACCGTAGTTCAAGTCTCGGCTATTAAATTAAATTTAAGGAATACGGAGGGGTTTTTTTCCTTCTTCTTTTGGTTCTTTGTTTCCTAGTGACGGTATTCTCCTAAATACAATACTAATAGAAATGACTTTAAATCTTAAGGTGAGGAAGTATGAGTTAGCCGAAAGACCCGATCATAATTGATAATATCTATTTTGGACTAAACATTGTTCCCTTAACAGTGGGCTCAGTGGAGTTTACACTGAAAATCAGACCGCAAGTGTCATCTTTTCCGCTGTTCCCCCCCCCCCCCCCCCCCCCCCCCCCCCCCCACCCCCCCCCCCCCCCCCCCCCCTCCCCCCCCCCCACATCTTTGCTCTAAGGGGAAATTATTCTTTTTAAAGACACTTCTCTTTTACTTCCCATCCACCCACTTTAAATTATTAAAATCCTTATTTTAATTTTGATAACCGGAAGTTGTGGCAAGGATGCTGTGTGATAAAGTGATGTGATTGCGCGCAGACAAGGAAGAGCAAAGCAGCATGAGTGCTGTGTATTTTTGTGTGTGTATGTCAGTGTATTTGTCTGTGTGATTTTAGTAAGGAATGGAATCAGTTCGTGCTGTTTTTAATATTTTTTTTTTTTTAAAGGAGAGGAGAATTTTTTTAACACCGCTAAACTGCATAGGTTTTTGAAAACTTTATTAAACCGTCCCGAGGATGGCCTTGTAACTTGTATGATCGTTTGATCCCTGCTTAAAGGGTCCCACTGTAATTGATTTTTCATTATTTTTAACAAATAATAAAATAAGAGGATTGTAATAGGAGAAGAGCTACAATACGGTTTCGTCCAATGTAGGCTATCATTACTTTAAAAAAGAGTAGAAGTAGAACGTTAAATGATTAACTTTAGAGTCCACGATAATGTTACGTTTATTTAAGTAGAAGAGCATAAATAGACGTTAAATGATTAACTTTGAACTTCGATAATCTTACATTTATTTAATTAGATTAGTAGAAGTTAAATTTTAAATGATTAACTTTGGGTCCACTATAATCCTACGTTTATTTAAAGTAAATAGCGAATCACTATTTTCGACCCTTGTATTTAATATTGATGACGTAACTACGTCACTAAACTATTTTAACTGATGTATTCATACGCCACGAATACCATTACTAGCACTTCCAAACAAACTGAAAATAAAATGTCACCAAAGTTCGACAATTAACAGGAAAAAAAAAATAAATTCAAAATGGCCACTACCTCCTTATCGTAGATGGACCAAATGGTGTTCTAAAATTAGACTATGACCTAGCAGTTCGAGAGGGGTTGCGTGTGTGTTACTGATACTGTGTCAAAAAGAGCCGATTAAAACAACTTAAATTACTTGGAAGGTGTGTTTGTACTGTAGCCGACTGTCGATCAGATCAATTACAGACCTGAATCATTATCATTAAGTATTTGTGACACATTTTGCTGTGGGGTGGGAAAGGGAAGTACACACTAGACCTAGAATGCCGTGAAAAGAGACAGCGGGATAGTGTACAAAAAGGAGTTTGTCGTTATGCTGTTGTTCCCCGACACGACGTAAGTCCTGACTTGGCTGAGGAGACTTTCCACATTCGTCAACTGGTCACGAAACATGTTTTCATTTTGTGAAAAGATTGATCAGGCGATTAGATTTGGGCCCACGAGAAACAACACACAGACATACACTGCGTGTAGTAAAGATAAAGAGAGCGCTTTATTTATAGTACAGACGTGGGGTTCTGTGTTAACTCCACGACACAGTCGCGTGCACTGGACGTTTTAGATTAGTTGAAAGTCAAATAATTTGGTCAGGGCCGTAGAGACAAGTCTCATATTACTCATAACAATTGTGAGAAGACGAACTTTTTACGGTTTGATCTATGAATGTACATTAAATTCAAAGCCAAAAGGGCACCCCCACCCTTTTTTTAACCTTATTTTTTTTCCAGTAACTACAGACTACAGGTTCTGATTTTTTCGTGTCATGTAACACTACAGGAAAAAAAAAATCCTATAACTGTCAACAAATGATTAAATACACAGTCATATTTTAACTTCCAGTGGCGTTAACTCTTAGGGACAGAGTGGGAAAACTCACAAAAAAGCTAATTCAAATTGTCTACTAATAATTAAGATCGTTCTATGATCTATCCTGACTTGTACTGCATATGACGACATACGAAGTGTGTTAAAAACCACAGTCCTTGTTAAATAGTGTGTAGGTTAAGGTTGGTATACTACAACTATTACCTCTACTGCATTACCACACAACTAATAAAAAAATTTCACCTGTGACTGTTGGAAAATAATGGGGACCACTGGTGCCAATGGAGAATTCCAGTAATCTAGTCCCCAAACTGGGCTAAAGGGGTGGGGGGAGTGGGAGGGGGGCAGGACGACCCAAACTCGACGTTTTCATTCCCCTTATCTATTGCCCTACTCTGTCCGCCCCCCCCCCCCCCCCCCCCCCCCCCCCCTATTACAAACAGGGCTCATAACAGGGCTCATAACAGGGATTATAACAGGGATTATAACAGGGCTCATAACAGGGATTATAACAGGGATTATCTTACACACAGACACGTCAACATTAGCCTTGCCCTATTTCTGAATACGTTGTTTTTATAGGATTCAGTGCTTCTCAAAATAGTTCCGTTTCATATGATCTTTAAATTTAAGCCTCTGGATATTAGAATTTGGATACACGATGTTGACTTGGTATTATGTTGAGTTGAGAGATGAATAATAAATAACGGGTACAGATTATAGATTTCGATCTTGTCAAAATTCTGTATAATCTTGAAAAAAAAAATTTTTTTTTACAATTTATTTTTCTTTAAATCAAATTGAGCATTGAAAATTTTTACTGAGATTTATATAAGGTCAAGTTTAAAATTAAAAATCTATTGTTACATTTTAAGTCTTAGGCCCCTCGATTACTGATGTCGCTTTCAATAATCCCGAGCATTCGTCAGTTTGAGAAGCCCTGCCTTAAAAATGAATGGCCGCATTGTGTCTGTTGCGCGGGATCATTCATGGTGGAGCCGGGCACTGTGCCAACAGGCCCTCCCTTCCTCTCCAACGAAACCCCAACCCCCTAACCCGAAAAAGTTCTTCACCACCGAGGTCACGAGGTAACGAATAAACGGAAATGACGACACGATATCAATTTCACGACGTTATGTGCTATTTTAAGTAACTAGCGTAGTCTTCTCGAAATCCCATTGGCTGGGAATATTTAATATTCATGCGACGCTTGAAATGGGGAGGGGGAAAAAAAAGCGAACGAAGAGGCGAGGTCTTCAGCTATTGGTCGATCATCGGTTCTGCACTGGCTTAGCAGCCCGCCTCGCGATATAACAGCGCGAAGCTCTTCACCGAAATGTATGAAACTAAAATGTGTGTTAAGAACAAACGTTGAAAGGAAGGAAAAAAATCTACGTCGTTGCGTTTTTTAAAAATAACCAAAAAAGTCATCCCGATATTTGTAAATATAGAAACTTTATTTGTGTGGGAACTGAACATATATAAATACTGTGACGAGAAGTGGACGTTTCACTACTAACCTGAAACACTGAGCTAACTTCCATTTAGAGTTTGTGGATACACTGTAAAGTTTTGATGATAAACAACAAAAACTGATATAGAGTTTCGGACATCTACAACAATAATAATAATACGTTAGAGGTAAAACATACAATTGATTGTGCGGTTTTACCTTTCTTCTGGATATCGACCATACAAAAAAAATTAAAGGCTGTTACAAGTTTAACCAAGGCAAGTGTCAAGTTCGGATTACTTCCATAATTGCTAGGTTCTTGCTTTGGAATAATTTTTAAAAAGCTGAATTCAGTTGTGTGGATTACTTATAATTATTTTCACTTGTGAACTTTTGTGATCATTGAATTACCGAAGAAAAAATATCGTACACATCATTTATGATCAGTTCACAGCAGGGCCTTCTTCCGAAAGCGACCTTTTAATATATTTTTGTTACCCTTATTTTGTTTCTTTGCGTTCAGATGCCTTGCCTAGAAGCCCATATTATGTCCAACTCAGACCTTGGAGATTACTGCTGCCCAGACAGGCTTCGGGATGAAATAAGCAAGAATGCCAAAAATGTACTGATTATCGACTGCCGGTCCCAGTCTGACTATTCACGTTCGTACGTCAGAGGGGCCATCAACATCACACTGCCGTCTCTGATGCTCAAACGGTTAAAACGTGGAAACCTCAACATTTCTTCTGTTATTCAAAACAACGAGGCGAAGGAGCGGTTCTCGAAATATTCGAAAACGGCCACAATAATCTTGTACGATGATTGCTCTACGGATCTAAACGCCAACCCATCGTCCGTCATAAACCTGTTGGTGAAAAAATTGAGGCAAGATGGCTGCCGGGCGTCCTTCCTACTAGGTAAGCTCAATCGAAATTACGATTACTTGTTGATGTTTATTTTGATTGTGAGTGATTTTTATGACCCTCGGTTAAAAATTTAGCCTTCTTTATTTATAATTAGTTTAGAAATAATTTCGTAGGCCTAAATTATTAAATTAAGAGGGTTTATCTGTAGGCTTCACCTATAACCTGATGATGCCGATGAGTATATGAATATGAAATATGCCTTAACTTACTAACTATGACCATGGATAATAATAATGTAGTAGGCCTATATATAATAATATAGAAGACTAATATTTATTCATTGCGTTTTATGATGTTCAATTAGATGACTAAATAAACATTTTTCATCGAGCTACCTTAAATTAAAATTTTGTCATTAAAAGTCAACCTGAATGAATAAAAGAAAAGGCCAACTGCAAGCTTGCTTTTTTTGTTTTTTGTGCTTGAGTTAATTATTAATATGAGAACAATTTTTCATTTCCACAGGTGGTTTCTCCACATTTGAGGAGAGATTCCCTGAGTACTGCCAACACCAGGAGCACGACACCAACATCATGGGTCTGTGCAACCTCAGGATATCAGAAGAGCCATCCTTCGGTGACGGTGACACCCATTCCACATGCAGCACAGCCAGCCCCATTTCATGCCCTTTCCCCGTCCCGGTCCTCCCCTACCTCTACCTCGGCAGCGCCAAGAACTCTGCTGATCTGTCCCAGCTTAAAAAGTATGGGATCACCTACATCCTCAATGTCACCACAAATGTGCCCAACATGTTCGAGAATGAGAAGAACTTCAAGTACCTACAGATACCCATCTCTGACCACTGGTCTCAGAATTTATCATCGTTCTTCCCGCAGGCGATAACATTTATTGGTGAGTAGACCCCACTTCCTGAAAATAGATAATTGAGCCTAAGATTTTAAGAAATGGAAAGCCTCTATTTTATAGTTTCACATGTAATCCCTGCCCCAAACATTTCAAAGGTCCGATCTTTGTTTATTGGTTCTTTTCCATCAATCTAATCATAAATATGTCAGTGGGCCTTTTAGTGCTACATCTTCATATTGCTATCACAATGCTAATAATTGCTACTGATGCTTTATTGTAAAAAAATATTTGACAAGTTGTGATCTGTCTTAGTTACTTTTACGTATGAAAAAAAAAATATTTTGAGTATCTGTATGCTTCAGCAGCCTGTTATTATAGTTTTTCAAAAAGCAAAAATTGCAGAAATTCCCTGGTCTAATTTAAAATCTTTTTTAAACAAGATGAACCTGCTTCAGCACAAGCCGTTAAATGGGTGTATGTAAATAAAAGACTTAAATATTTAAAGGACATACATATAGAAAGGGCTTTTCTTTTGTGCCAAAATGAAGTAAAATTCAAAGATAGTTCTAATATTAGTAAAGTGGAAGAGAGGGTTGAAGCTAGGAAATGTAAACGCAGCCTCTCCAGTGCCTAGAGCTGAGGAGATCTGATAGGATTGATAAGTTGTCTGGAGCCAAGAGTGGGGAAGATAATGAGGTTTATATTCAAGGAGGGTTAAGCGTGGCAGTGCTATCATTGTGTCTCTAGGCTGGTGTGTGTTTCTCTTTAATTTAAAATTTAAAAAAAATACATTACATCTTAAATCTAAAGGAATAGGTTTGTTTATTCTGTTATGAGAGAAAGGGTCAGATGAGGGTGAAACTAGAATGTCTTCACTGGGCATTTTTTTTTAACTGAGCTGTGTGTGTGGTTTGGGGGGGGGGTATTTCTTGGTGTACTAGTTAAAGACAGTTAATACTCATTTGTTATGATTTAATAGTCACAATTGTTTGATAAAGGTTCTAGTTAAATTGTTACACAATTACTACATACGCCAGTGTTGGTCACTTGTCACAAAATCAATTTAAAGAAATAATGAAGTTCTATTCATCACATATAATAATAATAATAATAAAGTTCATTTCAAAAACTGTCATAGTGGACACAGGAAGAAATGTAATATGTTTATAATGTTATCGCGAAGCATTTTAGCCACTGGGCCAAAGAGATAAACTCAGTAGTAGTGATCTGGCCCATTTTAATTCTTTACTTAGGTTATTTTTCCAGCTTTTTTGGGTTGGAAGGAGAGTGGGGGAGAATTTATTAAAACAGCATCCAAGAAACTACAATATACTTCGTGGGGGGAGGGGGCAGGGGTATTTTTATAGAATGTAGTAACGTGTTCCGGAGGTACCAGAAATAATTTCAGACTAAGGGAAGGCAGTGAGCCAGGCGCTAGAGGAATTGGTTTTGTAGATACTTAGATAGCGGACGTCACATCCGGTCTTACTTAAGTGGATTAGGCATTGCTTTTTTCTTTTGTTTGTTTTTTTTGGGGTTAAAGTTAGGCTTTTGATGTACGTTTGCTGTGGAGGATAATATTATTGTTTTATTTTTTGCTTCCCCATCAGTTTCCCTACATTTTATTAGCATGGGTGAACTCGTATGTTCTTTAAAAATATATATATAAAAAAAATATTAAAAAATATATATTACACCCAACAATTCAATAGCGCGGACATAACTTAAATATAAGTATACTATATAAATATAATATTTAGTTGCAGGCCCTTAGGTTTTGTGTAAGTACGAAAAGGTAAAGCAATAGTTTTACTGATAAGGAAACTTTAAGAAAGCTCAATAATACTAGATACCCCTTTTATAGGGTACAAACCTTTATATATAACGATTAGCTGGCGTGTGTGTGTACTATGGTTGGGTGAGGGGAAATACAATAAATGCATGGGTTGTGAAGAGCAGAATCTTCTTGTGATGTTTTCATGACCTTTCACTTTGACCCGTGACATTTCACTTGTGAGGACTGGGGGAGGATGGTTCAGGAGCGGGGGGGGGGGGGGGGTGGGTGGGGGGGGGGGGGGGGGGGGGGCGGTTCAGAGCGTTGAATGAAATTTGACACCCCTTTGACGCCCTTCTTGTACACTGCTTTACTCAACTGTTAAGCCTTTGTTGTGCAAGGTGTCATTAGTAGAACTGCTAAGCCAACGCTTAATTGTTTCAAGCTTAGTGCTCGTGTAATCCAAAGTAGTGGATGCTTTCATCCTTAGATTGTCGGCCACCTTGCATAATTTATTTTTATATGGGTGTGTTTTTCTCGGTAGATAAAAATGTGAAACACGTTTTTGTTTCAAACTTGAAAATGTCGAACCCCAACTGAGACCGTTAGAAAACGTGTCTGGAAGTGACACCTCAGGGTGCCTTCGCACTAGTTGTCGCACTAATTGTCCACTACAAAGTTGTAAAGATAATACTTAGCACCGTTTTATCCCCACCGGGAGTACCCATCGTCAGCGTCGGGCCCACACAGCTAGAGATCACGCTACGAACTTGTGACAGGAAGGCCATTCAGCCCCCCGTCAGAGCAGACTTGCGTGTAATACACGGTTAAAATGCCACTGGGTGGTGGTCTGGGGAAAATCATGGTAAGGGGGGGGGGGACATGACGCCCGATATAGGGAGGCGATAGTTAAAACGTACGATTAAGTTCTTGAAAACTTAAACAGAAATCGAATTTCGTGACGTGCGCGCGAGGTGAGGTGAAGAACACCGTGGCAAAAAATAGTCCGGTAATCACAGAAAAGTAAACACACGTGATCGATCAGTTGAACTTTGGCCAGCAGATTTTCGTGTAATAGAACTTAAAATAATTTGCTCTCGGATTATTCAACTAAGTGTTTCTACTGAAGAAATAGTTCACCTGAAGAAATAGTTCACCTGAAGAAATTGAAGAAATAGTACACCTGAAGAAATAGTACACCTGATGTATGGTGTGATTTTAAAAAAATGCAATTTGACCGTGCTGTGTGGTATTGAGAATTTCTAATATGAACTATTTTAAAATTTACCCACCCCGCCCCTTTTTTTTCTTATATTAAAATAATTATTCCTAACACTACCCCCCACCCCCCAACCACTGTTTCCTCCCACCTGTTTTGGGAGGTAATTAAATAAAGGAATCATGTTTCTTTTGGTGTTTGTAGCATACGTTTTACAAAAATTACCTGCTATTTCTAGCCATGGCTGCAGTATCTATATCTATTTAATTATTTTGCTGACGCCTTCCCCATTCTTATGTTCCTCAGATGAGGCCAGAAATAACCAGAAGGGAATCCTGGTCCATTGCCTGGCCGGCATCAGCCGGTCTGTGACTGTCACTGTGGCCTACCTCATGAGCCGTGAGAGCATGACCCTGAACGAGGCCTACGATCATGTCAAAAAGTGCAAGCCCAACATCTCCCCCAACTTTACGTTCATGGGGCAGCTGCTGGACTTTGAGAAAGACTTGAACAGTAGTGATAAGGCAAACGACTCTGGTGATGAAAGCCTGACCAGCGACTGTGAGAAACTAAGTCCGACCAGCAGCAACTGCAGCCCTATTTGATCGAAAGTTGTTCTTTTTATTTAAAAAAAAAAAAAAAACTAACTAAAAAAGTGTGACAGTACATCGGGTACATTAAGTCCAGTACAATGTCTACTGCAAGCCCTTGTAGGATTTTTTTCTTACACTCTGAACACTTGTCAAGACCAGGAATTTATTTGTGGATTCCTTTCAATTATAGCAGCAAAGCGCATATTTGTTTATTATAAAAAAAAACATGATGTTTTTATTTGTAAGAGGTACTTTTTGTTACTATTTCTACTGTAATTTTTTAAAACTTTTAAATTTCATTGTTGAAAAAGCATTCAGTTGACAAATCAAAAATTTGCCTGTCATAATGCCTGATATGTCAGTGATCAATGCATCACTGCAGTTCTTGTTGATGTAACATTTTCATGATTATAGATCATTGTATTACACCAGAGTGTGCCGGGTAGAATCCTGCAATCCAAGCTACAGACTCAAACTAGTTGGCCAGTTGTCAATCTTGGCCATCTAAGGTTGAGGCTTATGAGGTCACAGGTGGTAAAAACACACTTAAACCCCCCATTAGTGACCCTAATTAGCCATAGGTGGAACCAATACACTTGACCACCCTAAGCAAACCCATTGTTGGTTGCTAAATCGGCTGCTACCAGCTGCACAGGGCTACAAGCACCACAGTAAGGTCAGTTCATACAGCGTTTGCTAAGACACTGTTTGACCATTCTCAGCCAGACATCTTTATGGCATCGGGGGTTTCTCCCATGCTGTTGTCTATCCTCGAGTTATCAATTTGCTTATCCACTTGTTAACCTGAGCCTAATCAGCATAAAGTATCTGGTCTTCCAAAAGTTTTATACTTATAAATATATACATATATATATATATATATATATAATTTTAGATACAATTTTGTAACTGTCTATTACATTTTCTTTATAAGGCTTTTGTTGTCTACTCTCTAATAAAACTTTACCAAAGACTTCACTGATTGACAAAAACAATTTTTATAATTATCTTGAATGCTTTGTTAAAATAGTTTTTTTGAAGACTTCGACACAGACATAGATTTAACAAATTGTATTGTTGTATAACTGCTCTCGTTTTTGTATACCCCGAACCAAACCCCCTTTAAAAAAAACAACAACACAAAATTAAACTTTTGTGAGCTTTTGCTGTTTTTTCAAGTCTTTCAATGAGATGGGTAGGGATACGCTGTTGTTATATGAACATGTTGTTTATGCTGAATATGATAGCCCACTCCTTCAGAAGGCAGCTCTTTGTTTTCCTTAGAATGTTTTCAATGGTGTAAGTTTCAGGCATCATGGCATCTTTTTTAAAAAAAAAAACAATAACAAAAATGAACTATAACATTTCTAGTTTCAACTGAGAATAAATAAGAAATTTTGGCACAGCTGTTGAGATCAAACACATTGTATATTAAATCAGAATTTGTTGAAGCCCAACACCACGTTATGTAACATACATTAAAGAGCATACGAACAAAATCCAAATGGAAAAAAAATTACAACACAATGTTTTACAAATTTTTGCCACATAAATGTGCCATGAGCTTATGATGTTATTATGTAATTACAACATTTGAATATTTTTTTAAAGTATGTTTTAGAAGTGAAATAACATTGATTTTGCTGTTGCTTGTAAACTTGTATATATGATACTAGTTGTTTGGAAGAGTTGAAGAAGTATATTTCTTACCAAAATCCTGTGATCGAGATTGCCTTGTGTTAAAAACATATTCTTTACTTGCCACTTCTTGTTAGCCTGCTCTTTTACCGTGCAAACTGGCACAATTTGTAAAGCAAACTGGATTATTCTGATTTGGGGGTACATCGGAAGGCACCTCCACCAACATTGTACTTCTTCAATCAATATCTGTATATAGTTAGTACGAAAATTATTGTTTCGAAGTAATTATTTATTTGAAAGTCTTGGTAAAATTATTCAAGTTGAACATGATTGAATTATTTTTTTTGACTTTGAAGTCAGTCTGCAGGACCTGAAAATTATTTTCGGAATTAACTTTGGTCTTTCTTAGAGCCCGTTTTTTTGTTTGTTTGTTTGTGTGTTTTACCAAAGAAAGGTGAAAATGGGATTGCTATAAGAATGCTCTTGTGTTAGAACAATTGCTTGTGATAAAGACGAGAAGCTTGTACACTTTGATTACATTGTTGCTACACACATGCTCTTTAGGAGCTCAGTCCACTGCCATAGTAGCAATGTAAATATTTTCTTATTTGAACCATTTATATCATCCATGTTATCCCCAGGTCCTTAAACACACCCCCCCCCTCCCCTCCCCTCTACACATTATTATAGATGTGAGGTTATCACTTAACTAGATCAAAATATCCCTCAGCAGAATTGATAACTTGTGACTATTTTGTCTAGAATATTTCTATTGGATTGAATTATTAATTTTTGTTTCTTTTACTGTTGTCGTTATTAAATCTTAAAATTAGTTTAACAAATTATATATTTTGTTATTTTTTTATAAATACTTGTTTTCAGACAATGACAACACATCATTAGCAGAGATTACTACATTGAGCATCAATCTCCTGCAGCATCAAAATATGCCATGTAAAATAAAAAATAAAAAAAACACGCACATTCATATTAATTAATAGATCAACACAGATGTTAACTCATCAATCATTCAAGAAGCAGACACTTTTAAACACATCGTACACATACAAGGTGCATGCTAGCTGACTACAAGCTGCATGTTGACAAAGGAGTCCAAACTATTCCTTTGAGTTCTAGTCGCCTGGAAACAGCTGTACTCTCATTGTTGTTTGGTTTCCATAGTTACATGTAATCCTCTTAGTTAGCTTATTTTTTATGACAAATGTATCATCCATATTATGTGTATAACTATAACATGTTGATAAATTTTGGATATTTTTTTTTGAAAAATTTAAAATAAAAAAAAAACACGAATTTTTCGTTGTAATTTTTTTAAAATTATTTTAATCCCGCCAATCACATAGCAGATAGATAAATTAGGAAATTTGTCATTGTGTTATATATTCTTAGTTTTTTATACATTTATAACGTTTTTAGTGGTAGTCTTACTGGCTTTGTGTTACTATAGAATTGATTGTTTTATTATGGTGGGGGCTGTTATTTTGTCCATCCCTTGATGGGCTAACCCACCCTCACCTTGGTGGCTACTTCCCCCTTAGTTTCCCAGTTCCTTAGCTTAGCCATCACCTCACCCTCATGGTCAATAACTCCCTGTCCCACCAACTCCCCACCCCACCCCCATCTTAAAATCATCCATGCAGCACACCTGTTAGTGACCAAAGAAGTATTTGAAGTTTGTATGATCAGCATCAAGGGCTTCCATAGAAAGTTTCAGGGTGTTTGTTCTCTACACCTTATTAAAGGGAAATAAATTATTAAAGGGAAATAAATCAAGACTATGTTTGTTAATGAACAATTTTTTTATTTATTTTTTTAAAAATTCATTAAAGTACCTGGGTAACCCAAAATTTTGGTTTTAAAATTCATTAAAGTACCTGGGTAACCCAAAATTTTGGTACATCAAAATGGTTAACTTTGTGGTATGTTTAAAAAAACATATTTTTTTGTATGTTGACACTTCTTGGTCCACTAAATTTGCACTTGATAAAAGTTGTATCTCACTGTACATAAGGTTTCAATTAGCCATGGTATACCTCGTCCTTAAATGATGTCATGTATTACGATGTTATGTGAAATGTTTATGAAAATAATGTACTGCTTTAGTACTGAAGATATAAAAGAATTTTATTGAACCTTGAATTGTTGTGGATATTTCTTTGAAAAAACAGTTGTGTTGTGTGTCTGGTCATGTGTGGTGTGTCTGGTCATGTCTTGTGTGTCTGTTGATGCTGGTGAGCACTACCAGATCTAAAAGATGGAAGGCATATTTAAGTCAGGAGTAAACCAATCCACATGAGCTTGCCTTCCAACCTGAATGGTACCGTATATTAAAGTTGAACACATACAGAGCTGAGAGACATCTTTTTCCTGTCTTTGACTGGAGTTGGTTTATACAGATGAATTGGTGCCATGTCTTTGACTGGAGTTGGTTTATACAGATGAATTGGTGCCATGTCTTTGACTGAGTTGGTTTATACAAGTGAATTGGTGCCATGTCTTTGACTGAGTTGGTTTATACAAGTGAATTGGTGCCATGTCTTGGACTGAGTTGGTTAATACAAGTGAATTGGTGCCATGTCTTTGACTGAGTTGGTTTATACAAGTGAATTGGTGCCATGTCTTTGACTGAGTTGGTTTATACAAGTGAATTAGTGCCATGTCTTTGTGAGTTGGTTTATACAAGTGAATTGGTGGAGATGAATATGATGGTGATTATAAAACCCAACAAATGAGATAAAAATATTTTGGAAAACTACGGCAATTCTATAATCCTGCAAATGGTTGCAGTTTTTTGGGGAATCATAGAATGTTATCGCAGGACTTGGTAATTAAATGATGGCACTGAGTGGAGTGGTTCTTATTATAGGTCATCTGAAAATAGTTTGGAAAATAAAATAGATGGATAATACAATGCCGGTTTTAATAGTTATAATATTAAATATTAAGATGTTGTCACCCATGTTGGATGCTATGTTGGATTATTCTTGTAGGTTGTTGATGCTACGTGGAACACTCTTGTTGGATGCTATGTTGGAACACTCTTGTTGGATGCTATGTTGGAACACTCTTGTTGGATGCTATGTTGGAACACTCTTGTTGGATGCTATGCTGGAACACTCTTGTTGGATGCTATGTTGGAACACTCTTGTCGGATGATGTATTGGAACACTCAATCGGATGCTATGTTGCAAAACTCATGTTGGATGTTATGTTGCAAAACTCTTGCTGGATGCTATGTTGGAACACTCTTGTTGGATGTTACTTTGCAACACTCTTGTTGGATGCTACTCTAGTGGATTGCTGTGTGGTACTGACCCACTCACTTTCAGATGCTATTTGGGCCCTTCCTGTGCATTGCTGTGTGGTACTGACCCACTCACTCTCAGATGCTATTTGGGCCCTTCCTGTGCATTGCTGTGTGGTACTGACCCACTCACTTTCAAATGCTACTTGGCCCCATCCTGTGCATTGCTGTGTGGTACTGACCCACTCACTCTCAGATGCTATTTGGGCCCTTCCTGTGCATTGCTGTGTGGTACTGACCCACTCACTCTCAGATGCTATTTGGGCCCTTCCTGTGCATTGCTGTGTGGTACGGAACCACTCACTTTCAAATGCTACTTGGCCCCTTCCGGTTGGACGTAAGTTAAGGGACCTAACTGTGAGATGCTTTCACTGGTTCAGTGCCACGTAGCAGTTTCTTTTGAATGCTTTCGGGAATTCTCTTTTGGGCCCCAATTTGGCCTTTCAATGATTATGGATTTTATTTTTTGCCCCCCCCCCCCTCGGTGGTAGCTTATGTTGTCCTGTAGGAGAACATAACAAAAGATTTGAAAGAAATGTCAATATACCACTGTCCATTTGGTGTCCACGTTGAATGAGAAACCTAACATACAGATCTAGATGATTGGACATTTTGGAAGTAATACAGACGAAAGTCGATACAATTTATTCATCCAAAATTAACTCGTGCCAAAATCAACAACAACAAAAAAGAAATCAAAACAAGAATTCTGGATACTTTATTATTTTTATTTTTTTATATTGACCTCGTTATGGGCAGTTTGGAGTTGATGCATGACCAGAAAATGAGCTCGTTTTAACATGATTCACGCCAATGTTCGCTGATGTAATGAGATGCGAGCGAGTGTTTTGATGCACTATCCTGGGTTAATGAGCCACCAATGTCAACCTATCGTTATAAATATGTGAAAACGAGTGTCAACGGCTTACTTACTGCTCATTAATTTAATGTCAGCCATGCAAAATGTATCTCCAATTACATCAAATTTGTGCTACTTCATGGAAAGGTCAACAAAGTTATTATTTTAACAAAAATTACTTTGGCTGGTTGTGTGCAAGGGAAATTTGAGCGATTAACGAGATTTGAGTTTTACTTTTAACATAATGAATTAAATACGCGTCAGAGATATATTTTATAAATAGTATAGAAATTCATAGAAAGTACTTACTACAGATCGAGCCTTAACTAAAATATTTACATATAACTTCGTCTTCTTCTATATTTTGAGGGCCCACGATCAATGAATCGACGTCTCTAACATAGGTCTCTAATTTGGCCCATATCTAATAATTTTACCACGTGGACTATTTCTTATTAGAACTATTACTCTAAAAGAAGATGTAGTACATAAGGTTGAGTTCATCGAAACCTTGAGTTAGTGGCTGATCATAAAACGGAGAATTGATGTAGAACGTTGGCAGAGACAATTAGTACAAGAATTTATTATTACATTTTTTTTTCTTTGGTGGGGTGGCGTTTTGGTGTATGAAACATTTACTTATAAAAATTTACTACATTAAACAGAAATCCCTGCAATACCCTTTACTGACATAAGGTTTTGAAAGTCTACTAGCAATGAAAACCTCATCCCCCATTAGATGTCCAAGCTACGCCACTGGCGTAGAAAAAGTTATGTACTTTGAGCGAAGTTCTCCACTTAACCCAATTTTTGTCTAAAATGATATGTAGATACTCTCTTAAGCCCTGACGTGACAGAATTATGTTATGGCCTGACATGACGGATGATCTTGTCAACTTGAATCCGCCAAGCTGGGGGCACAACTCAGCGGCAACACGACAGAGATTAAAGTGGACGGCTTCAACCCACTCCAAGCCATGACTACAGCTCTTCACATCACACAGCTGGTCAAGCTTATCAAGACAGAAATAATACTGCATCTCTTGGTAGACTTACTCATTAGGGGCGGGTAGGGTAGACAGAATTAGGCGCTCTTTACATCAGTGAGAGCGAGCACCTGAATAGTGCATCTTTCATCTTCCGAAAAAGTTTTCCTGGTCAAAAATGACTGCCCCCCTCCCCCCTTTTTACGCTCTAGTCTACGCTACCTTACAGTACAAAGGGTTCTATATAATCTGGATAAACTTTTAAAAAAAAGAAGAAAAGAAAGAAGATACTAAAAACGAAAACTGTTAGACTTTATGCACGTGGTGTCTAAACAATCTAAGATATTTTTTTCCCCGTAGAGATGAGATTCAATGACTCTGTATCTTACGCTTGCAACAAAGAAAATACGTCTTCAAAAAGCCAAGGTACATCGAAAGCCAAAAATATCGTCGAAGCAGAGATAAAATTAAAATATATCTAAATCAGGGGTGGGCAAACTACGGCTCTCGGGCCACATGCGGCCCGGCAACTGATGTTATGCGGCCGCCGAGGGAATTTAGAAATTTAAAAAATTACTTCGTTTTTATGTTATCTGAATGTTACAGAATTTCATGTACCGTTGTGATTGTTTTTATAAAATTTCTTTCAAATTTTCTATTTTTGTAAACGGTCCTTGACCTTCGTAATGTAATGCTAATATGGCAAACTATAAAGGCGGCCCTTCAATAGCTTTTCATTCGTCATTGTTGCCCTAAGCACAGACAGTTTGCCCACCCCTGATCTAAAGTATTAGAGTGAAATTAATAGTTTTTGTACGGTTCTACCTGTGGATGTCATACATGAAATGCGTATGCCGGTAATTTAGCTTCACCCACAATCCCAAGCAGTAGGACACGCACAAATACTGTCTTATCGGAATCAGATTTTGATATCAGACTTCGGGGGAGAAATACAGCTCCCACTCTAAATATTCAACATAGGCCCAGGGGCACTTAAGAATATTGAGCACTCAACCTGAGTGGACTACCACGTGTCAGCATGCCCGCAACTGGAGGCATTACGCCGTAGGAGACGGCAGGTCACAACAACAGATACAACGCAGTGTACATTATTGGCATTTCATTCATGGTTGCTGCTCTTGTGCGCGCCATAAATTTCAAGAGGCTTGCATCCTCCTGGACTTGATCATCATTTAAATTTAATAATAATAAAATATGTTTTACCAACAACAACAACGGAGACACCCAAACGAAAACAATGTAGGCAGGTCAAGGACACAGTGACTGCAGCAAACGGAAGTTTGTTCGAGCAGAAGTTTGCTCCAACGGAAGTTCGTTTGAACGGAGATTTTTTATGAAGATGGTACTTGCTTGGATGTAACCCCCCCCCACCCCCCCCACACCTTCACCTCCCCCACCTTTCCCCACCCACCTTCAATTCACACAACCCTGTCAACACATCGCTCAGGGCAGGATGGGGTCGGGGGGGGGGAGGGAGTCCAGATTGTGAGAACATTTTCGAATAACCAGTGTCCTGGTCCAGAAAAACACATTACTTGCTTGGACGTAACCCCCCCCCCCCCCCCCCCCCCCTTCCCCTCCCCCACCTTTCCCCACCCACCTTCAATTCACACAACCCTGTCAACACATCGCTCAGGGCAGGATGGGGTCGGGGGGGGGGGAGGGAGTCCAGATTGTGAGAACATTTTCGAATAACCAGTGTCCTGGTCCAGAAAAACACACCAAATTGTGTACTTTCCTATATACACTGGCCCCAGAAGCGTTTCTGGGGTATCTACATTTTAACGAGTGCATGCGTACGCTACATCTCACGGCCGTCCAAGTGGTTACGCTATGTATCACGGCCGTCCAAGTGGTTACGCTATGTATCACGGCCGTCCAAGTGGATACGCTATGTATCACGGCCGTCCAAGTAGTTACGCTATGTATCACGGCCGTCCAAGTGGTTACGCTATGTATC